TCCTTCCTGGGTGGTCTGGAACAGTATTGTTTCCAGTTCAAAAGAGTGAATTGGAAACTTGCCTTCATACACATTCATGAAACAGTCTAATGTGTTCTGGCAGAAATCACTCATAGAGTGCTGCATTCTGAAAAACTGGTACAAAACCCAAGCATCAACACAGAATATTTAAATTTATTTAAGCCTTTATTCTTTCATTAAATAAGTATTTATGGGCTGCTAACCATGTGCCAGGCACTATTCTAAACTACTGAGGCTCAAAGATGAATGAGATACAGTCCCTGCCCTCAAGTAGCTCACAGTCTAATGAGGAAACAGATACAGTAACAGCAATTATAAAACAAGGTGGGATATTATTGGCAAATATTAAACTGCAGGGGATATTACTGGCACACCAAGAAAGAACCTCTAAACCAGCCTGGTGTGCAGGGAGACTTCTTGGAAAAGGTGTCTCTTATATTGTCTTAAAATAGATGCTGTAATATATCTGGCAAAATATAAGAAGAATAATAGTCCATGTAAAGAAGTTTGGGGCAATAAATCACCAAGTGGCAATGTGCCTTTTTTGAAAATGTGAGTTTATCCTTGTAGAGTTCATGTAGGATGATTATGATATATCCAGAAGATATATTATCCTCTTTGTTTAAATTAATAGCCATAACACTCCTTCTTAAATTCTAATTTGGTGTGATCTACAGATATCCATAACTTGAGTAATAAATCAGAGTTCAAATGTTGAAATTTGAGCATCCAATAATCATTACCACAAAATTACTTGTGTTCTGTTTCTGGATAAAGATGCCTAAGGCTTGGTAGGCCCCATCTGGTTTCTGCAGGGACCAGACTGCTGACTTAAAAAGATATAATTGAAACCACCATCCTTGCATCTTTTAGATTTTAGTGATGGTACTAATCTTCACTATCCCTGCTGGTATGTGATATTGTTTTTGATGTACTATCTTGGTCCACGAAACAAGAGCAGTTTCAGAGATTTCCATTTGGTTTTCCCCATTATGATAGGTCTTACTCCACAAGCCAAGGACCCAATGTGGGGTTACTCAAATTCCCTAATGTGTCAATTCCAATTAAAAGGTAGGGAACTGAGGAAATGGCTGCTGGGTTGGTCCATGCTTGGAAGTCAGACTTCTACCATAACATAGCATTTATTACCTGGTATCTGTAAGTCCCCACTCTAACAGGGGGACTATGATGATGCTTTGGGTCCCTGGGATTCAATGTCATTTGATACTCTGAATGCAGTAGTCTTGATAAGTTGATATTTCCTTCTCCCCAGTGTATTCAGTCACCTAAGTATATGACCATAGATCCCCTGGGGAAGAACTGGGGAAAATCATTACAATGTGTACTTTTCACAGTATTACAGTGTTCTTCCTTTTGGGGCCCTTTCAAGTAAAGGGATTCTGGTCTGAAAACTGAGCAAGGGGTTGTAACTTTTTTCCTGATGGTAGAAGTTAGGCACCACCCTTGTTGACTACTGGTCAGTTTTGCCCCTACAGGTACCATTAATCATCTCCATAACTCCTTATAGATCAAGACCCCATTAGTTACTCCTTTGGTCTTGCATGTCATTATCATTATACAGTAATCTATTTTTTAATATTTTATTCATTTATTCATGCGAGACACAGAGAGAGAGAGAGAGAGACAGACACAGAGACAAAGACACAGGCAGAGGGAGAAGCAGGCTCCATGCAGGGATCAGGATCAGGATCTCCAGGATCAGGCCCTGGGCCAAAGGCGATGCTGAACTGCTGAGCCACCTAGGCTGCTCTGTCATTATCATTATAGTAATTTTCTTTTCTTTTCTTTTCTTTTTCTTTTTCTTTTTCTTTTTCCTTCTTTCTTTTTTTTTGTGAGGTGTAGTCGACACATAATGTTACATTGATTTTAGGTGTACAGCATAGTCATTCAACTGTATATATTACACTGCGCTCATGACAAATATAGCTACCAATCTGTCACCACAAAATGCTATTACAATACCATTCACTATATTTCCTTTGTTGTACCTTTTATGTCGTGACTTACTCATTTCATAACTGGAAATGTGTCTCTCTCCCTCCATTTCACCCATTCTGCCTATCCCCCTTACACTTCCTCTGGCAATCATCCATTCTCTATATTTATAGATTCTGTTTCTTTTTGGTCATTTGTTTGTTTTGGTTTTTTTAGATTCCACTTATAACTGAAATCATATGGTATTGGTCTTTCTCTTTCTGACCCATATCACTTACCATAATACCCTTTAAGTCCATCCATGTTGCTGCAACTGGCAAGATCGCATTCTTTCTAATGGCTGAATAAAATTCCCATATATATAACCACATCTTCTTTATTAATTCATCTATCAGTGAACACTTGGGTTGCTTCCTTATCTTGGCTAAATAATGCTGCAAAACATTAGGTGCATATTTCTTTTTCGAATTAGTGTTTTTATTTTCTTTGGATAAATACCTAATAGTGGAATTATTGGATCATATAGTATTTCCATTTTTAATTTTTTGAGGAGCCTCCATACTGTTTTCCACAGTAGCTGTACCAATTTACATCCCTGTTAAGAGTGGACAAAGATTTCTTTTTCTCCTTGACCTTGCCAATACTTGTTATTTCTTGTCTTTCTGAGTCTAGCCATTCTGACAGGTGTAAGGTGATATCTCATGATAGTTTTGATTTGCATTTTCCAGAGGATTAGTGATGTTGAGCATCTTTACAAGTGTCTGTTGGCCATCTATATGTCTTCTTTGAAGAAAATTTTTAGTTAGATATTTGGGTTTTTCTGGTGTTGAGTTGTGTAAATTCTTTGTATATTTTGGTTGTTAACCCCTTATCTGATATACTGTTTGCAAATCTCTTCTCCCATTCTTTAGGTTGCCTTTTTGTTTTGTTGATAGTCTCCTTTACTATGCAAAAGATTTTTATTTTGAAGTAGTCCCAAAGTTTATTTTTACTTTTGTTTCCCTTCCCTCAGGAGACCTATCTAGAAAAATGTTGCTAGGGCTCAAAGAGATTGCTATCTGCGTTTCCTTCTAGGAACTTAATCGTTTCAAGTCTTTAATCCATTTTGAGCTTATTTTTGTGTATGGTGTAAAAAAGTGGTCCAGTTCCATTCTTTTGCATATGGCTGTCCAGTTTCCCAGCATCATTTATTGGACAGACTTTTTTCCATTGTATATTCTTACCTCCTTTCATGTAATTGATTGGAGTATGGGTTTATTTCTAGGCTCTCTCTCTCTTTTGTTCTGCTGATCTATGTATCTGTTTTTGTACCAGAATCATACTGTTTTGATTACCACACCTTTGTAGCATATCTTGAAATCTGGGGTTGTGATACCTCCAGCCTTGTTTTTCTTAAGATTGCTTTGGCTCTTTGGGGTCTTCATTTTGGTAAATATGACATCTTGGTTTCTGGTGGTTAAATACCTACCCTCTGGTGCTTTGAAGCCCCATCATCTTCCATAAATATTAATGAGCTCAGTTCTGTGATTGCCTCTTCTTCAGTCAGCCCAGCCTACAGAGAAGAGCTACCATGAATTCTTAGTGATGTTCACGCCCCTTCTACCACTGCATTTTTGATGGCCTTAGTATATGAATGTTCTCTAGGCTTTACTATAGAATACTATCTTCTGGCCTTTTAACATGTTCATTCCAGCATGCCCACTTCCCCCAAATGAGAAGACAGTTTCAACAGTCTCAAGAGAGCTCTTCAGAGACAATGTCCTCAGGGGCATCCATCCAGATGGCCTTATCCCATATTTCAGGTTCTCAGTTTTTCCCAAGCAGGAACCTTAGGATAACAGACTTGTCTTGGGTGAGTATTCAAGTCATCTCTTGAGACTGTTAACTCAACTATCAGAGCTCCAGTATGCTGATCACCTGTTTTGCTCTTCCACATCAGGAAGTAAGGGCATCTTTGTAAACTACCAAAGATATGCTCTGGCTCTCACACTTGGCTTTTAACTGTCTGCTAATGCATCTCAGTTTTCCATCATCCCTCTGTAGGGCATCAAAACAACAGTAAGTGGTAAGTGGTCACTTCCATAATTCTTGTAGATATTGCTACCTCACATCTTTCAAATGCCTGGATTGTTTCATCTGCAAGGTGTTTACTTCCACTCATTTTCCCAGATAAGCACTAGTGAAATCTTTAGCAGTTGAGCTGTTAACTTGTTCCAGGGACTGTCTACAGCCCTTTTATTAAAGACGGCATTTGTTGTGATGAGCACCAGGTATTGTGTGTAAGTGATGAATCACTGAATTCTACTCCAGAAACAAATAGTGCACTAAAATTTACATTAAAAAAAAAAAAAAGGATGGCATCCTCTTTGTGCTCAGGTGATGAATAAGCCAGTCTCCTGTTTTCATCTCACCACCTGTTTTCTCAGACCCCTTCAGTACCCCTTGCATTAGTTCCTGCCTATTGAAAGCAGATGCCAGGATGGAATTAGAGATGTAAGAGATTTATTGGTAGAAGGTGGAGAGAGGCTTCATACCACATGCAGGTCTGGCATCTATAGAATGAAAGAAAGAAGAGAGAGAATGAAATTGGATTGGAAAGGAAGAGTCTTGAACTAATGAGGCAAATAAGGAGTCCTCAAGCAACATCCCCTGTGGGGAATCCCCACTTCTTGCTAAACTGGGCCTGCCTGAGTGCTCCACTGATCTCAGTCATTGTCTGGGGGAAACTTGTGGGAAGTGTCCTCTTGGTGTAAAAATAGCCAAGAGGCAACAGTGGGAGGAAGGGCAGTTATGTTCCCAAGAGTAGATTTGAACAACACATTTTTGTTACTGCCTCAGGGAACCTGTACTACAAAGTAAACTTTCCAGCAGTCATCAAGGGGGTGGTTGATGAGTCAGGGCATTGAGTTTGAGGAGACAGTTGCTGTTTTGGTTTGAAGTAGCTCAAGTGGCAGGCATGATAGGGAGGGGAGGAGGCTTGACAGGATCACAGAACTAACGGTGTCCTGATTTACCCCCAACAGAGCTGGAGCTGGGTCCTGAGCCACAGCAGACATTCGTGGTGGTTGATGAGCCATCAAAGGTGGGCCTGAGGACCTAGTACCATCAGGGTCTGCCCAGATTTGCATTTTGTCTTCACCCAATAATGAGTGAGTTACTGTGCTGCATAAACACCTTCGCCCCTCCAAATCTATTCTCCATTCCACCTTGCTCTGAATCCTGGAGTCTGGCCTCTAGGGACTACATCACCAAGTGCTTTTGCCCTCTGGTTTCCATTTGGGTCAGCCAAAGGAAAATGCTTTAAGGAGATCTGAGAGAAAGAGGAGAGAGGTCAGGGTATTTATTCTCCCAGCCAGGTCACAGGTTGACAGTGGCTATGTCTTTCTATCAAAGGCTTCTGCTGGCTGGCCTTGCAATATTCCAGCCAGGGATAATAAAAACTTCCTGATAGGGTTAGGCCCTCACCATTGTTTGTTGATTTCCCTTAACTTTGCCTACAATTTTGTAAGTAATCTCTTTATTAAACTCTATTCACCTCTTTTGAGGGTGACATTTTTCTGTGCTGGGATAGATCTCCACTGGTATAATCTTTTTTTATCTCTAAATCTGTTTCCTTGTTTATAAAACAGTGATGATAATAGCACTTATATCATAGAAGTCAAGTGAGATAATGTAGGTGAAATTCTTAGCATGGCGCATAAAACATAATAAGTTTTCAATGAATGTTAGCTGTCATCATCATCATATTATCATTGTAATTAACATTTTTATTCAAGACTCAGTCATTGGGACCAAGATAAGAATGCTGGGAGTTGGAATTTCCCACCAAAACTTCCACTCAAGTCAGGATACTTGGCAAAGTATAAATGCAAACAAAGGTTGGGTCCCATTAGATGCATTACATGATAAATCCACCTTTGCCAATATCCCTATGACTGATAAAACTCTCAACAGGATAGTTCTGATTATCATCATTTCTGAGTACATTTTTAAGGCCAAAGGTTAGTGCCCCTCACATTTAGTAATCCCTTGCTGCAAATTAAGCTAATTTAGAGAAGGAATTCTTAATCAGTAGCAAGAGATAGAGGAAAAGATATTTAAGAATATAAAAAGGCACTACTACAATTTAGAAAAGCAAGACTTATTTCATCCTAAATACATTATAATTCCTGAATATATGATATATTACAGTGGAAAGAAAGCACTACTTAACAGAAATGCTACAGTTTATCCAGATTATTATCTATATAATTATTCTCACAGCCTCACTGTGGCTTAAATCAGTTAATTTATTTGGTGTTTAAGAGATAATATTCTTCATGAGGCTAGGTTACAGTTTGCATCTCCACGTAGGCCTCTTAGCACAGAGAGCCATTCTTTTCCATGATTGAAATCTGGAGTCATAGCCTGATATTCCAGCTTGTAAGTGAATGATGATGATCACAAGAACAATGGAAAGGGGGAAATGTTCGGTACCAATCCACACAAGTAGAAGAAAGTCCAAGTCCATGTTTTACTCTGAGTAGGTAAACAGTATTCTTTTCCTGTGCAAAAGGCTATTTTTAAAAATGTGAATGGGATAAATTTGTCATGTGAAGAAAGAACAATACAACAAACATACAAATGTTAGTGATGCACCATTAGTGTTTGTATTTCTTTCTTAGGACTACCATAACAAATTACCACAAAATGGGTGACTTGAAACAACAAAATCTTGTTATCTCACGGTTTTGGAGGCTAGAAGTCCAAAATCAAGGTGTCAGTAAGACTATGATCTCGCTGAAGTCTCTAGGGGAGCATCCTTCCTCACCTCTTCTTAGCTTCCAGGGGTTGCCAGCAATCTTTGCCTTTTTCCTTGTTTTATGTCAGCTTAAATCCAACCTCTGCCTCTGTCCCACATGGCCATTTTCCCTGTATGTCTGTGTCCAAATTTCCTTCGTTTTTATAAGGACACCAGTCTTATTGGATATAGGCCCACCCTACTCTATGACCTCATCTTAACTTGATTATATCTACAAAGACTCTATTTCCAAATAAGATCACGTTTACAAAGTTCTGGGTGGCCATGAATTTTAGGGGAACACTATTCAATCCATTATAGTGTCTGTCACCCTAACAACTCAAGGGTTGGTTCATCTCTTAGAGACTCTTTTAAGCTAATTTTTTCTTTTCTTCTTTGATATTTTATTTCTTTCTTTTTAGCCTCTCTTCTTTTCCTTATTTTTTTTTTAAGATTTTATTTATTTATGCATGAGAGACATAGAGAGAGAGGCAGAGACACAGGCAGAGGGAGAAGCAGGCTCCACGCAGGGAGCCTGACATGGGACGGGATCCGGGTCTCCAGGATCTCACCCTGGGCTGAAGGCAGCGCTAAACCGCTGAGCTACTGGGCCTGCCCCTTTTCCTTATATTTGTATGCTCATCTGGGGAGAGAGATTTAAGTTATATCATTTTGGTAATTGCACAGCAGACAGGTTTTGTCTGTGGGACAAGTGGTTTGTCACTCCCTACTTCTACCCCACGTGGCATAAACTTATATTTTCACTGTCACTTTGCTATATAGAAGATGTGGGTTTTGGAGGAAAGATTTTAGTGAATGATGAGCCATCAGCAGGGCACTCTGATGATGAGATACCCTGCTAGGTAATTCCCAGTTCTCTGCTGCCCACCCCACAACTTCCTCCTTCCTTGAAGCTACTCCTCAAGGACATCCTTGGCAAACAGACTTCCTTTTTGCCCGACCTAAAAAAGTGCTTTTAAAAAGTCCCACGGTTATTTCCCATTTCCCAGCAAATGTATATTTACAGTAATTAAACATGTAGAATTGATGGTTTGTTGAGCAGAGAGGGAACCTGGAAGCAAAGAGAGAATCTTGTATGTTTCCAGCCCATCTGCTCAGCCTCTTCCCCACCTTTCCCCAAGTAAGGAAGAGTTGCTCAGCCAATTGCTCAGTGTGGGATAACTGACTGGTGCTCTGATTTAGAGTTATTGTGTTCATGCTCACACGCTCATAGGTTCTCTTTTGTGGTCCTTCATTGTACTGTTGGTGTGGTGAGAAGGCCAAATGCTGCCTTGTTGCTCCATTAAATCATGCCTTTGTTTTTTAGTCATCGCTTTGATTTCTGAACCATATGACTGGCCAAAAGATGGAAAGAGCCTAATATGGATTAGGGATTGGGGATAAGAAGAGGCTCTATTTAATTGCTTAGACAATTCTGCATCCACAATCCAATCCACAATTCCACAATCCAACCTAGTTTTATCTTCACTTTGCACTGGAGGTGATTGAGCAGGGCTAAGCCAATGAAAAACAAACAAAACCCCTAGGCTTGCTTTGCACTTTGCTTCCAGGATAGGTATATGCATGCCAGCACTTGTGTCTCAGCAGGAGCCTCTGAGGAGGGATGATTGTTGGAGAAGAATATGCATATTTGGATCCTTTAGCCAAATATCTTGAACAACACCCAGTAACACCTCTCTAACAAGTATGTTACAAACAATGTCTAAAATAAGAAAGCTGTTTCATTGAGATAATATATCTAGGCCATTTATTAATTCAAATGATTGGGAATTGGCCGCATTGTGGCAGCCCATGTGTGTTCAGAGGTAGGCCATCTCAAAGGTGAAACTGTGTTACACACTGTTATTAGAGACATGCAACATGTACCTTGAAAGCAGCTTTGCACTTATTTATTGCATTGATGTACAACAAAAGAGAATATCATTCTTCTCACTCTTTGTGGCCCTGACTAATGAGGTATCAGCTGGTCATTAGACCCTAATGCTTATGTCTCTGTATAATACTTCATTTTTATAGGACACCACACTCTTTTAATAGGGGTGTTAATGGAGCATTTTTTATTAAATTTACTCAGTGACAAGATTGGAAATTGTGGCAATATTTTAGATCCTGCCATTAATTGAATATATTTTGGAATTTAGTTCTTTGTCTTATCAAAGACAAAGGTATTATAATTGTGAAGAATTTCATTTATGAAATGTCTGTGACAGGATCATTTGTTAAATTGGAATTTAGAAATGCAGCTCCCTTCAAGTTAAACTAAAATATATATTAAACTGCAGAAGCCATTAAAACCAGTAAGATTTTTTTTTAAAGATTTTATTTATCTATTGGAGATATGGAGAGAGACAGAGAGAGAGAGAATAAGCCAGGGTGGGTTGAGGTGGGGCAAGACCAGCAGGATTCTTAACCATCTTAAATTGATTGGCTGAATAAAGCTAAAATTTAAAATCTCAATATATGTAAAACTTTGACCTAATAAAATAATTGTTTGCTCTATTTCATAATATTAAGAATATAATGTTTTTTTTTAAATTAATAAATTTTTATTTAAGATATTTTTATTTAAGATATTTGACATGTGATTCCTTCTGCCGCCAATCACCATAGTTCCACCAAAGCCAGAGTGATGATCTTCAACCAAAATAGCACTTTTAAAACAAACTTTTGTTCAATCCACAGCCGTCACTGTCCAGAGGTCTTCTTGGATCTCCACTTGAATATGGACATACTTCAAAAACTCCCCACTGTAATCTTTGAGGTCCAATTTCTTTAGAGCCCCATTTAGGGTCTAAATAGATAAATGATCTTCCTGGTTCTCAAACATCCTCTAAACATGAATGAGTTCAAATCGTATTCACCCCTAAACTATCACACCCTAGAACTGTACAGATTGTTGGGATACGCCAATACCTTTAAGTCCAGACACTGTTTTCAAGTGAAAAGCCTTAATATTCATATTCCTATCTCTTCCTTTTCAGACCATTCTATCCTCTGTCCCATGTTTTTGGACTTTGATGCTCTCTTTTTAGACGAAGCAGCTTCTTCAGTATATTCCTCTTGTCCTAAATACAGATTCATTTTCTTTGGTATTTCAGAACTTACTATGAATTCATTATTGTCCACCAATTTTATATCACATCCATCATCATGTTCAAGAGTTGTTGCAGCCTCTTCCACTGTTTCTGACTCTTCAATAGGAGAGAGAGATCCATCATCATCCAAGTATTTGTATCTACGACTGTCAAAATCTTCCCTTTCTAAATCTTCACCAACATTCATTTGTTTCAAGGATTCCTTGAGATAGTATTCATATTTCAATTTTTCAAGGTAGTTGAAAAATCCTCTTGCCACCGCTTGCTCAAAGCTTAAAATCTTTCTCCATGGTAATGGCTTTTTTACATTCTCAGATTCTAAAAATGGGAACCCAGATCCTTTGTCTTTAACTTGTTTCTTATTTATTTGGGAGCGTCTAGTGGTTTTTCTTCCTTCTGGTCTTCCCCTTGGTCTTTCTTTTGGCTTATATTTCCTCTTTTTACGTTTCTTTTTTTTGAATCTTTCAAAAATAGCTTTTAAAGTCAGTGGTCTTGGTTCAAAAGAGGAGTCACTAGATGAATCTCTTGCTTCAACACCTCCAGATGAACGAACAAACTTTCTAATAGGGTTTCTTTGCCCCTGTTTTGGTGAGTAAGGGACACACTGAGTCTTAAATAAGCTGCTACCAGAAGAATTATCACTTTCATTGTCAATTTCTACAGCTGAATTAGATGCCATTATAGGTTGAGAAAATTCGTTACTTATTCTCCCCCAAGTCCTCTCCAAATTGTATTCACCACTTGTTTGCTTCAGAGTTCCCAACAACCACGTGGAAGGAAAGCTAAGAATATAATGTTTTTAAAAATTAAAAATTTACTTCCATCCAGGGCTAGCCATTTGATTACTCATTTAACATTTCTTTATTCCAAAGGAAGCCAGACTTAATTACTAAAAAAAAAAAATATATATATATATATATACAAGACTATTAGAACTATTTTGTCACAGGTAGTGTACACTTATTAGTGTCATGGCTGACATATGATATAGGTAAAAACTTCCAATAAATTGAGGAGAAATAGATAAACATGATTTTGTGGGGCCTTTGTTCCAAAACTTAAGTGTACTCTTTGATGGGACAAACAGCCACTTGTTTTTACCCAAGAACATGGAGAATCTGTTGTTCCAATATCATTAGTAAAAGTGAATTAGTAATTGCTTATCTATATAGTTATCTTTGCTGCAACTGATGGCAAAGTTCTAATGTCACGTTTATTTACAGATATACATGTGTCCCACGATGTGTCAACAGCAGGATCTCTTGCATCTATTTTTGTCTCTTTATGACTTTGTCAGTGAACTTTCAGGAAATGGCAGAGTAGCTTCATTTGGAGCCTGAGGAAGCAATGCCTATAACTGGAGTCCAAGGAGAGTCCACTGGGGGGAAACTAAAGCCCACAAAAATTAAATACTTATCCATGGTGACCCAGAAAATCATTAAGCACAAATCCTCTGACTCCTGAGACAAGCTCTTTTTTTGCTCACATTTATGATGTTATATGCCTCCCTGTGGCACCTTCTGAACATGCCTTTCAGTGTGTGCTTTGGCATAGCTAAATTTATTGAGGCTGTTAACTGGACCTTGAAATGCACGTTCCACTTTGTGGTGTTAGGCAGATTCAGATGTAAAATCTGCACTGGGTCCTTATGACCACATAGTGACTTCAATCCTTTTGGACAACTTCAACTTAATATCACTAGAAATTCCTTGCATGGATCATGAGCAACATGTGACCCCCAAAGTCTTCTCAGTTCGTTATAATCTTTCATTTCTTCTAAGACATCTGAACTGGATTTTTGTTCCCATTTATGCTGTTTCATCTCTTAATTGTTTAAAGAAATATTTAGCTATATGAACATGAAGATTGCAACTGAAAAATATTCAAAAACTGTTTGCACGCTTACTTTTTCTTTGGCTTATCTGTTAACTACAACATTACTGCTAATGAGATTGTCTGAAATCTGCCCACTTATTCCATTCTTGCTTCAGGATCCTGTGCTACTGGAGTTCTTCTCATGACATAGGCATCATTCTTCCTTGTATCCATGGCTGTGTCTGTTAAGACCTTTTATACAATAGCCTCAGAACTCTGGTTGCAATTAGAGTTTTGATTAGCTGTCAGTGATGTCATAGCCATGGTTATTTTAAATCCACTGTGCTAAGTGTTTTCCTTTTCCTAATGTACTGTAGAAATTCCATTTCTTGACAGCAATAAGACACTTCAGGCACTGTGTTTCAGGGCCAATATTGCACTTCTCATGGAGTTAAGACACTTGGCCTTCAGCCTCATGACTTATAACACAATCTGAGTTATGCTATAATCACCCAGATATATACATGGCCTGTTGTGTTTTATTGCTTAAATGGAACCTGTCCCAGCGCCTCATCAACTCACAAGGTGGGAATATAGCCCCGAATGACTGTTCAGATTCCCACTGGGAGTTGCATTTGGTCAGATCCCCTTTAGCTGTCCAGGGGTTGTGCTGAAACTCTGGAGGCCTTTGGTATATTTACCACACAACAGAAATCAAAACTTTAGCATCTCAGGTCTCGCTGCCAGACTGCCCAACTTAGGTTGCCAAATATCTCCCTCTCAACACGTTTATTGAACTTTAAAACGGCAGAACAGCATTGAATGAAGTCCAGTAATTTTTATAGGATATATTTTAGTCACTAGACTTTGAAGACTATTCCAACATTAATTATAAAGTTTCTGTGTCTGGATAACATATTGTTAACAGTTATTTTGCAAGTGCTAATGGCAAGATGGAAGATTTCCAATAATTTTATTGAGGAAGTAGCAATTAAAATGTTGAGCACTACAGGGTACATACAAAATAAAAATAATTTTGCAAACATGGCACTGTACTTCATGACAAAAATGGAGATATATTCTTTATTTTCAAATAGATATAATGATTTTGCATTTCCACCTGTTTCTATTCAGAGAAGATCAAGAGGTCTCTTTTTTGTTTGTTTGTTAATATTTAAAGGCGGTGTAAAATGCCAGCGCTCCAGGCTGGTTTGATATTATTTGCCACAACATCATGAAATGATTTTAAGACAAGTTGTTATCCATATTTCTTTCAATAACAAATATCATTAAAATGAGATCATTGGCTTTGTGTGACAATTTATGACTCTGGATATGCATGAGCTGTCTTTTCTAAAGACTTTCAAAGACCTCATCTAGCATGGTTTTCCTCCAGAACTCTCTTGTGTGACCACCCATCTTCCAGACTCACCCTACCACAGTCAGCCAGCATCTTTAGGTCATTAGCCTGTCAGAACCCTGAGAGCAGAATGATGGACAGCAGAAGGCAGCAGGCAAGATGGAGAGCCCTCTGGTACATGGGGTGTCAGAAGCAAGACCTAGAGGGTTCAAAGGATTTTCCCAAGGTCACACAGCTGGGGAGCAATAGATGGTGCATGTGGACTTGGTCCAGAAGTGTGTCATCTTTACCACATTGCTTCCAATCATTTTCAGTTTAGAGTGCAAATTGTTAATTGTAGAATCAAGACAGCAGGAATAAGAACAAACTGATCTTTTGTCAGTTTGGTGACATTATATTTTGAAAGGGATTTCAGACCAAGAATACAGCTGCTTTCCAACCCTACTTGATCACCGCTTTCTTTTTTAGGCATATTCTGATTGCTATATAACTTAGGCCTAGGTTTCTCTCGTTCATTTGGTAAAAAAAAATTCTTTTCCCTAAAGAGTAATGTATATTTAAAATTTTGCTTTAGATCTATAGTTGGAATGCTCATCAGCACTGGCCAATGATGTCAACACTATGCTATAATACCTCTAAATGAAGTTTCCTGCTAAAATATTTTATTAAGGTTCTGCTTTTAGGGGGTCATTGTGTACTTTCCTTGGTTTTCCTTTGTGGATCATTTCTTAAAAACACCTTTTCTCTGATGGATCATACAAAAGCAGTAGGTTCAGGAACCAGCTTTCCTTTTTTCACTCAAGAACAATAAGCATACAGAAACTGAAGTTATCTGGGAGTTTTTTACCCACTTTTGCTAAGTCAAAGGGATTTTTAGAAACATTTCATTGTTTCTTAATTCTCAGAGAGAGAATAATTCTAATTAATGGGGTTTCCTCTTTTTTAACTGATGTACTTATGGAATTAATTCTTATATTCTCATATTAATTTATTTACTCAGTCTTATGAATTATAAATAAAGCAAATTATTAGATTTCTAATTAGCTTTCTTAACTGTTTTTGTTTAATAACTGATCAAGGGCATGTGAATGTCAGTTAAATAATTCCTTTATAAAAATTCATAATCTAACCTAGAAGCAAATACTCCTTTAGGCTGCCATCCTATAAGAGGATTGATCATTTGTTGATTTATTGCCACTGATGAGAGGATTCACCATTTGTTATTTATTACTTAGTAAATATTCTTGGTTCATATTGAGCAAATATATTACCACTCTACCTTTGCCTCATAGGGGGCAAATATGTCTTTCTTCTTATGCTCAATGTGTTATGATGTTTTCACTTAATGGATGCTCAAAAAACTGCTCACAATCATGTGGGAAGCTGAAGATATGCATTTAATTCATCATGTATTTTTTTCTTCAAGAAAATTATTATTTTTTATTAAAGATTTTATTTTTTCATTAGAGATACAGAAGGAGAGGCAGAGACACAGGCAGAAGGAGAAGCAGGCTCCCCAGAGGGAGCCTGATGCAGGGACTCAATCCCAAGACTCCGGGATCACGATGTCAGCCAAAAGCAGATGCTCAACAACTGTGCCACCCAGGTGCCCCTGTTCAAGAAAATTAATCACAATTACTGAGTCACAGAAACCATGTGTTTAGGAAAAGTTATTATTGATTATATGTAAATGACATTGAAAATTTTTCTGATTTTCCAGCTGATTTTTTAAACTGATAAACTAACACAGCAGAACATGTAAGAGAGAAAGGCTTCTGCACAAGAACCAATATCAGGGATAGATAGTAAACTTTCAGTGAATTTCAACATAAAAATATCCCTCTTCTATTTTGCTAACATACCTCAATGAACAGGTACAAAATTGATTTTGAAATAGCATATTTTTAAAGTTAGAAATCAAACTTATATAAATAGAATTTGGTTACAGAGGTGACCCTGGAAAATAAAGTGATCTTCCTGTCAGTGGTTGGGTGCCCTGGGAATCAATTAGTGAAATCTTAGTGAAAACTGTGTGTCAGATTCTGAAATAGTCAACCTCCCAAAGGTGTGCATTTATCCCCAGGAAGATGTATGTGCTCCTGATTGGATGTCACTAAAAAGAACTTGGAATAATTGTTACCTACAGGAATCATTGGAAAGAACATGAGTTACCTGTTAACTGAAACGGAAAGTTTTTATGACTAATACTCCAGAATTCTTGCTTCTGTCCTCATGATGCTGTGGCTGTTCTATCAGATATTGAGCACCAGAGTTTGGACTAGACCCTGTGGCCAATGAAAAGCAGAATACTCTAGAGTTTGATAGTTTGGGCTTTGAAGACTGACAGGTGTGGCTTTGGTTACTGTTTCTGCTTTCCTGTATACCTGAAGTTGGCAAATCCAGGGGTATATGACTTCCTTTTACTGTATTGCTTCTAATAAGAATGGTAAGACAATTATAGGGACTGAAAGGGCAGACAACATTTTGGAGCATATTAAAAATATGAGTTTTTTTTTAATGGAAAGGACTCTTTATATCAATAATCCACCTGTCTTCAGCAGCCCGGGTGGCTCAGCGGTTTTGTCGCCGCCTTCAGATCCTGGAGATCCTGGAGATGTGGAGATCAAGTCCCACTTCGGGCTCCCTGCATGGAGCCTGCTTCTCCCTCCACCTGTGTCTCTGCCCTCTGTGTGTGTGTGTGTGTGTGTGTGTTTGTGTGTGTCTCATGAATAAATAAATAAAATCTTAAAAAAAATAATCCATCTGTCTTGTGATCTTGTCAAATTATCTATTAAGACAATTTTGAAGATGCTTTTACTAAAAGTGTGATAACCATAGCAAAGACTTTTAGATGATCAACAAAGCTTTTCTTTGTTTTCCAGGGCATACAGCCAGATGACATTTCCCAGACTGTCTTATACTAAAGTGTAGCTAGGTGACTGAGTTCCAGTCAGTGGAAGGAATAGCAATGATATGTAGCATTCCTGAGCTTGGTGCATAAAAAAATCTCCCATGATAGATTATCTGTGCTCTTTTCCTTCACATGAATTTCAGATGAATATGGCAACATTGGAAGTTTTGTGTTAAAGCTGGTGGAGCCACAATGTGGAAGGAGCCCAGGACCCTGAATCAGTGCCCAGAGGTGAGCTCCAGTTAATCAGGAATATTCATTTGATTGTATGAATAAGAAATAAGTGTTTGAGCCATTATAAGCTTTGTTTTTTGTTGTTTTTTTAATAGCGTGAACATCACCTTCACTAATATTCTGTGTAATTAGCGTCTTGTATAGAATTTATTTCATTATTATATAAATTCTGCTTGTAAGCTTTCAATGATGTCATTGCAAATGAGTGAAACAGTTCACCCTGAATAAATATGTTTATCCGTTTGACCATATCATCGCTACGTTTATTTTTACTGTTTTCTGTCATCCCTGAATTTATAAAAATATATGAGAAGCTTGTCCAATTTCAATTTTTCTTTCACTGAAGCCATGTATTTCCCCATCCCCACCTTGACACTGGAATTCTGCCTAAAATGAAACAGCAACAGAACAGAGGTCAAGAACTTGGAAAGATTCATATGGAGGAAACCAGGTACAGCTTGATTTAATATCAGTATCTCATGTGTTCAGAGAGTGGAGGCTACAAGATAACAGCCCATCATTTTTATGCCCTTCCATCTGTGAAAAGCTGTTCCTCAAAGCACAGTGTATGAACAAACTAGCAGCTTTTCATTTTAGGCACCATATTTTGAAAAAAAAAAAAAGAAGCTTTTGAGGCATAACCAGACTCTAAGAATAATTGAAATCTATGGAGTTTTAGGGCCAGACTCATAAAGAATGCAGACTTGTCCCTGAAACATATTGCTAGAGAAAGGTACAGAGCACAAATCTTTAAAATGTCTGCTGCACATACAAAACAAAGGCTACACCATATATTATCTGCCAGTGAAGAAACAAGTGTGTGTGTATTTAGAGACAGGAGAATAGGAAGACCTACAGAAATAGAAAAAAAATGCTAAAGGAGGTGTTTGGTGAGGGGAGAGATGAGTAGATTTTTAAGGCAGCAAAAATACTCATATGATATTACAATGGTGGATACATGCCATTAAAGATTTGTTCAAACCCATAGAATGCACAATACCAAGACTGAATCCTAATGTAAGCTTTGTGGACTTTTGGTGATTATGTGCCAGTATAGACTTCATCACTTATAAAAAAATATACCACTCTTGGGGATCCCTGGGTGGCTCAGCAGTTAAGCATCTGCCTTGGGCCCAGGGCGTGATCCTGTAGACCTGGGATCAAGTCCCACGTCGGGCTCCCAGCATGGAGCCTGCTTCTCCCTCTATTTGTGTCTCTGCCTCTCTCTCATATTTATTCTCTCATGAATAAATAAGTAAAATCTTAAAAAAAAAAAAAGAAATGTACCACTCTTGTGGGGGAGATTGTTAATGGGGGAGGCTATGCACGTGTGCTGTAGAGGGTAGATGGGAAATCTTTGTACTTTTTCTGAAAAATTGAGCCTAAAATTCCTCTTAAAAAGAAATCTTTAAAAATTTTAAAGAAATAATCAAGTTGTATTAAAATTTATAGGATGAGGTTTTGTTTAAAAAGTATGAATAATAATAATAATAATAATAATAATGCAGATAAACCCCATTAAACCAAGCCCCATTGTAAAACAGCAAAACATAAAATAAGAGAAACCCATATTCTTATATTTCTAACAGAACTCCTGGAATAATGCAAGGCAATAGAAGAATCAGAGGTTTCTATCCCTGTCTTATCACTGCTGTGCTATTATGTACATCAATACAAATCTTGGACTGGTGTTCTTAGGTACTATCCCAAGTTAGGCACTCGTTAGGCTGGTACCTAGCTTCCCATTAAGATATCCAACAGCACCCATAAACTATAAAGCACTGGAGGACACTGTGGCAACAAAAAGACCAATTAGTCTGAGGATGGCTCTTACAGCTCCAAGCTTGAAGATGGGATTGTTGCCCCTTTCAGTATACTTTTGCGATCACATTTTTCCATGGGAAGGCCTTTCTCTGTGAAGTCTTTAGGAGTCATAGGAGCAACTTTTCAGAAAAGTAGCACTTTTGCTGAATCATACCTAAATCATAACAATATGAAAATTCCAACAAGTATGTGTTTTTAAGTGAACCATCTTTCTTCCAAAGATGATTCTATCACAACCCATCTGTCACATCTCTGAGTGTAGGAATTGTAAGCTACTTCAACATGTCATTCGGGTGAATCATGGAATGTACTTTTTAAAAAAACTTCTTAAATGTAAGGAGATGTAACTCTGAGGTGTTTTTTGTGTCACCATCCATTCATTCATTCCACTTTAACTAAATACCTGATCTTCTAGACGATTGCTACTGTAAAGCCTCAAGGAATAAATAAACAAAAAACAAACAAATAAATAACCAAAGTATCTAATAGTTATTGATGTTATGAAATAACTGTTGAATATTCATCATTTCCCTTCATCCTTCCAATAAGCCTATAAAGGAGGTCCTGGTAGATCTTTCTTTTCCAGATGAACAAACAGGTTTAGAGTAATTAAGTAACTCACCGAAGCTGGTAAAGAGCAAGAGCCCAGGTTTGTTCTACTCTAGAGCGTATGCTCTCAATCTCCAAAAAATTGTGTCTCCCATGAACTCCACGCTGGGATACTACTGTATACTCTATTGATGGGCATACATGTGCAAGCAAATAATTTTAACACATCAAGAATACACAGTGTGATACTGGAGCACAGCAGAAATGAGGAAAATGTGCAATGCAGAAGTGGGGAATAGAAGTGCAATGACATGGGAGTTGCTGGATGGAGAATCAGGAACAGACATGGCAAACAGAAGGGAATTGTGTTCAAACCCAAGAAGGCATGAGATGGTTGAGCAGTGATGAGATTCTCAGCATGGAGGTTATGCTGAGCAGGTGGAGGCCAGATTATTAAGGAATTCTAATTGTACCAATAAGCACTGGGTGATGTATGGACTTGTTGAATCATTATGTTGTACTCCTAAAACTAATACAACACTGTATATTAACTATGCTGGAACTGAAATTTTATTTTATTTTTTAAAAGATTTTATTTATTTATTCATGAGAGGCACAGAGAGAAAGGCAGAGACACAGGCAGAGGGAGAAGCAGGCTCCTCACAGGGAGCCTGATGTTGGACTGGATCCACAGACCCAGGATCATGCCCTGAGCCAAAGGCAGACACTCAACCATTGAGCCCCACCCAAATGTCCATGGAATTTAAATTAAAATAAAAAATTCTAAGTGTATAACATGTTGAAAAGGTCCTTAAGCAGAAATACTAGGTGGATGACTGACCCCCTTCTCCCCCCCCCCACCACCCCCCAAAACTGTTTGTACTGCAGGGAATGGACAGAAGAGGGCAGCGCTGTTGGGTGGGCAAAATGATGACCTTTGTACTTTCATTTTTTTGTTTTCACTTCTGAGGACTTTATTTCAGACAAAAGAGTGAGATTTATGACTTGTAGAAGGAGCCATATATAAGTAAAGCATAATGACATCTCCCATGGCTTCCATGGGATACTATGAGCTAGTTGCTATGTTGGAAACTTTGCATATATTATTAATCCTCAAAAATATTTATGCATTGATTTTGCATTCCACTGGTAGATATCTCTGGGACAAATCTCCATTTCATTGATGGAGAAATGGAGGCTCTGAGTGTTTAAAACACTTGCCCAAAATATTACAATTTTAAGTAGAAAAAAAACAAGGGGCTCCAGTTATATTCTGAGCAAGGAAAATAGAGTTTGATGAATTTGCAATGTTCCAAAAGGCCTCATTGAGATGTGTAAGTTATGACATGTCTGTTTTTTAGAAAGTCTCGGTACTTTTGTAATCACACTTAATATTTGGAAAATGTTGGTCAGGATAGATTTTCAGTCTTTTCATTAAAAAAAATAATTTTGCAATTAGAGTATGAGCTCTAAGGGAAAATACCATGGACAAACACAGAACAACTCTCTTGGATTAACAGCAATTTACAAAACAAATCTAAAGAGATTGTGCAGTACTATCAGATAAACACTTTTTTATATTGATGTCTGGAACTGTACGTTGACTGCTTGCCATTCTCTGCAGTGGGAGTTCAGGCAGCATCCAGCCAAACTAAAATAGATTTTATAAAATCAAATTGATTTTTTTTTGGTATTTGCCCTCAATATAGCACCATTTCTCATATACTTGAGGCTGACCTAAGTTTGGGAAATTTGCCAATCAATTGTTCAGACTTCTTTCTTTATTTTATAACTCATAGGATATTATTGACCAACACAGGAAAACATCTGTTATAAAGAAAGCCAAAAAGCTACTAAGAACTTAATAATAGATGGTCACCTTGTCCTTTTTGTAGGCACTCCAGAGGTGGATATTAAACTCTATCAACCTAGTTATCTTTAATTAATTACATTCTTCTAGAGGTTGATGCCTCACTTTGTCCAACTTTTTACAAGGTAAATAGGATAATTTGCCTAACGATTCCAGCTTTTGGAGTAGAGCGGGGGAGGGAGTTAGCAGATACAGCACCACTCTTTTTCACTCCTCAGCAGAGGGTTGAAGTTCAGCCAGAGGTCTTGTATAATAGGAGTTTTTAGAGGATATTTAGTGAGGTCCCCATTGGAACATTATCTATATCACAAACAACCGTATATCATTTGGTAATCATGGGCAAGTTTCAGCTTGGGAAAGACCTCATGTTGATTAGCTTTATGTAAGATGGAGAGGTCCCAATTTTGAGAATGCCAACATACTTCTATCCTATCCAATCCTTCATGTCAAGCAGGATTATCTAGTGGAGGAGTAGAGGTAGGGGAAAGGGAAATAAGCTCTCAAGCCATCCCTAGACACCAGGAGGTTTTCACGTACCCTTTGGCGAGGATATAAAATGAGGGTTCCATTGCTTCTAAAGTCTATTAAAGCTTTAACATGCTCTGCTCCTAAGCCCTGTCATTTGCTCTCTCCGTTGAAAGCAGGGTGTTGGCTGTCCAACCTGCATGGCCAGGGAGAGAGAGCTCTCAGCAGAGCTACCTGCTGCTGTTGTCATGAATTTTCCCTGTTCCTTGCAGCTAGCATTGCTCCTTTG